ATGAGTCCCTGCACACACTGACAAAGATCCCCTTGCTGCTTAATATTTCATACAATTCACAATATTCCCTCTTTGTCTTACCGAAGCTTTCCATCTGTGGCACGCTCATTACGCGACAACAGCAACACCCCCCTCCCCTCCATCCATCCAACCCCCTTACCTCCAAATTACTCTCATCGTGGTCTTTAGATTTCTTCTATAAAAAGCTGTTCAAATATGTATGCAAGCTCTGGCCCCATTTCCGGCAGTCCATAAAGTGTTTTTTTTTGTTTTTTGCCTTCTTGGTGGAGAACTCAACAAGTTGCCTCCCTTTATGAATTTACGGCCCCGAGGCCATCTGCAGCCCTCTGTGCTGCCTCCTGACAGTGGCTTCGCTCGCTGTCTCCCTCCCTGCAGAGAAAGAGGCTTGAGGCTGTGCTGAAAATAAGATAAGATATTTAAATTTGTCCGAACGTTCACCTACAAGTTATTGTGTTTTTTTGAGGTCAGTCAAGTCCCCCTTTCTGGGCTGGTGAATCAGACATCGTAGATTGTGTGTGCGTGCGTGCGCACAAACAATGCTGAGCCATATCTCAACCCTACTGTACTGCATATTGTTTTTTTTATTATCAACTGGTGACGAGGTGAGAAGTTTGTGCGCGTCACACCATCTTTTCCCCCCTGCAGGCCCAGAGGCTGCGGTTCAGCCCGAAAAATCCATCGATTCAGCCGCAGAACCACAGCTATTCAGAGAACAAACAGGCAGAAGGAGACCACACAGGAGACAACACTGACAAAACGGGGGACGCCTTTAAGCAGCAGCTGAGCGCCTCTGTTCCTGAAGGCAGCACAATGCGTGCTCATGCATACGTGTTCTACCTTTCAAAATATGTTTGATGTTCATGTAAGTGAAGAAAGTACACCGCCCGTGTCTCTAAATTACTGCTTTGATGCAGTGGTGCTTGTGTGTGTGTATGTATGCATCAGTTTTATATTTTTCGCCCCCTTTGATGTTATGTTCATTAATATCTCTAATGCATGCGTTTGAGTGATTATATCTGTCGGTATATGTAGGTGTGTGTGTATATGCACGCACTGAGCTTAAAAGGAAAGATGTAATCTGGGTACATTATTGACACTGAACGTTGCCAAAAGAAACGAGTGGTACATGAACTCTCCACTCCCCTTTTGCTTCATCACTCCCACCACCATCTTCCGCTATTTTGCCTTAGGGCTTATGATTTTCTCCCCATTTGTGTCTGTTTGCAGTTCAAAGCAGGACCCCAGCCGTGGCCACATTCCTTAACTATCCCGGGCTTAGATTAGCATACTGATTAACCAGCCTTGTGTCTCTATCTTCGCCTTACCCGGAGCTCCCATGCAGGGCTGCGGCGTCATGAATATAAAATGGCAACATCGGCAAACAAAGGCTTGGCATGGAGCTTCCAGATGAGGGAGCTATAGTGCACAGAAAGCAATGCATCTATTTTTTTCTTCTTTTCTACTGTAATCAGAGAGTACTGAGGCGTTCTGGTGTTATTAGAGTTTCCAACAGGTTATGAACAGTATAATTGTTGATCTGCTGCTACTTAGCTTTCTCTCTCTCTGCACGGTGTTTGACTCCTCCTTGGTGAATGTTTTCCCGCTTATTTCCCTCTCTGCTCCCTTCCCGCCACGCTTCACAGACAGCGGGGCATCTTTCTTTTGATCGTCTGATTTCTTTACCTCTTTCTTGCTCTTCCATCCTTCAAAAATGTCCTCACATCGGCTCCTACCTCTACTTACCTCTGGCCTCCTGCCTTTCTTGTTCCCACACTTCTCCCTTGCTTGTCAAGGCATCAGTGAGGATGTCGAGCCACCTCCTGCTCTCACCTTTTTCAGTGCCACTACTTGCATGCCTCCCTCCGAAACATCTCTCTCTGTCCTCTTGAGTCTTTCACTGTGAGAAGGACCTGAGTGAGGACGGCAGATTGTGTGAAGTTGGATGTTGGTTCCAGGTGACAGGCACCATATGAGTCATAGCCATAATAGCAAAGCTCCCCTATTTTCTCCCACCCTCCATTGGCCACACAGTACAGCCACGCAGCAAAAGCAAAATTGCTCTGGGTAGAAACAATAGCTATACAGTACACAACAAGCATGACAATTCATATAGTTTGTACAGTGTTATTTAAATTACACAGACTGACAGTCATTCAGATTAGTGAAAGTAGATATTAGAATCCATGAAAATAAAAATAATGGCCAGATGTTCCACTAAGAATAAAGGCAAGTAGTCCAGATTTGCATGAAAGCCTGTTGAATAGACATTTTCTGGTTTCCCTATTTTATTAAGTATGTATGTATACATGGTGTATATGTGCATTTGTCAATAGTTATTTCAAAGTCAAATTTCGTTTTGCTTGTTTTCTTCCATAAATAGTAATTATTGAAATTGAAGAACAGATGCAAAGATGGCCTACAACCCATTTCTTTATAGATCACAGTTTTTAAGCCTTGAGTTTGGCATTTTGGTCATCAGCATCTTGGCTTTCTGCGACCCTGAAGGGGCACGATGGAGCAAAGTATGAATTATGAATTATAAATGAGATATATTTTGGGAAATCACAAAAGGTTACGCTTAACTTGAACCAAAAATGTGAAGTCTAGAAGCTTTGCACTGACTGACCATTCCAAATCCCATAGCAAACACATTTCCAGGATGTCTGGATGATAAATGTTCTCAGTAAATATTACTTTAAATAAAATAGGGACATTATGGGAGAAATACTGTTTGATTAATACCAACTGTTCTGATTTGATTGTATCATACAACAATCAGATATTACATCACAGGTCATTTAGCAGACTCTTTTATCCAAAGCGACTTAAATTACATTTTTAACCCATGCCCAGGGAGCCATTAGGGGTTAGGTGTCTTGCTCAGGGACACTTCGACATGGGGCAGCCAGGACTTGAACCACTAACCTTGTGTTTCCCAGCGCACCCTCCCTACCCCTGCGTCACGACGATGATGCATATTAACACATATTATTAAAGCCGTTTTGTGTTTAACATTAAGATTATTGGATCTTGGTAAATCTAAATCTTGGAGATCTGTTTCATTGCTCATTAATTATTAGGTACAATAGAATAGGGATCCACCATTACCATTGTTGTGGTCTGTGTTTAGAGAAAAATTAGATAAAAAAAGGAAATGTGTGCCATAACAGAGACCTTATTCACAATAACATATCATACAGATCAGCTCAGCTCATCAGACTTTCCCCAGAAAAGAGACCTGCAAATGAATAAGATGGAAAACAGAATGAGACCTGCTATGTGCAACAAGTGGAAAGATGTGATTAAATATGAAAACGGAAAATTAAAAGACGTTCAAATGAAACTGGACCAGACAGCTTCCCTGGACATCGAAGGACACAAGCAGAAACTAGAGGAGAGGGTGAGATAAATATAAAACAGGACAAAACACTGAAGAAGGTCAAACAAATTGGAAATGGATGAGAAAAAAGACGAAGCAAAAAGGACATTATGGGCTGCAATTTCAGATAATCAGAGATTTATCTGCCAGAATGGCTACAAATTGAGACCAAAGACCAATCTAAAGACATGAAAAGATTTTAAAAAGCCATTTAGAGGGGATACCAAACAGGCCCTTGGGCCAGAGCTTTAATTTAGAAATAGCAGTATTCAAAATAATTATGTTACTGGACTGGAATGTTTCTCTACAAAGTAAAAATGCATTAAAAGAGGATGGTTGAGGCCTCTGCATGTGTTAAACAAATAGCATTTCTAACTAAAGGGTCCAGGCAAATCTGAGCAGGGTTGAAGAGCTTATGAAAGAGAAGAAAGAAAATAAGATCTCAGTTGCTCATATTATGAGGTGGGTTGGGGAAGGGGGGTCAAAAGACTGCCGACAAACAAACATTGATTGGACACTAGAACATCAATCGACATGGCCGACATAGATACAGACCCACCGATTCAGAAGCATTCTGCGCATAGAAACCTACCCAGACCCCTCCAATTGATGAACCACTGGCCCTGGATGATAACAAAACAAACTCAATAATTTGTCCATTGTAGAATAATTAATAAGAAAGGGAGCAGGGGCTAATACAGATGCTATGAGGAACACTCAAGAATATGATTGTAGTGAATCTATTCATTTCAGCACAGCGGCATAGCTGATGCGCTCGCAGACCAGACAAGTAATCATTAGCTCGCCGGCTAATGCAATAGCATCGCCTCCCTTTTTTTTTATCCTCGCACACACAGCAGACTGGAGCACAGTGTGCCAGCTGGATATCGCCACGAAAGTGAGTCAGAGAAGGGAAGCGAGAGTGAGAGAAGATGTGAGGGTGCCAAGGAAGAAGAAATGAAAAGACATCCTTGGCCAGAGAAGTAGCTTTAGAGAGAGGGGGACTGTGTGCTTGCATATATTAGCCTAATAAGGTTACCCCTAGGCTATATTTGAATTACCGCTGGATTAAGACTCACCGCAACTAAGGGGTTTATTCCAAGATTTCTTGAAATCTTTTTCATTTATATATTTTACCCTCCGATGTAACTATTGATTTCCTGCAACCAGTGTTTAGTCCACGGACAATATGACAGATGCATGGCAGTCTGACATAAGTGAGTGAGGCTGACAGTAGTGAGCCTTAATTCGGGGGACACTTGAGTTCCAACTCCTGTCCAAAGAAGACAATGGGACCCATGGGACCCATGGGACCCCCCCCCCTCCCCCCCACACACACACACAGACACACAAACCTCTCGCTCGCTCTAACATGCCGAACTGTTTCCACAGTTGAGGGCAGGAGGAAAGTCCTTCAAAAATGAAGTACCGGTTTTTATTGGTCTGCCGCCGTTCAACTGCCAACGTAAAACAAAATGCAATTAGCGAGATCAATGCGCTAAACCCGATTTCAATGGCACCCCCCCCCCCACATTCCCACCCACCACGACACGGTCACTCAATGCGCACCATGCGCCCGTGCACAAAACCCTGGACTTACCGCAGTAGAGAACCAGCAGCGCTGTCAGAAGCACCACAGCCCAGAAAGTTGACGACATTCTCGGCCAGTGGCTGGCGTCTTTGCGTCTTGTCAACCTCGACACCGAAGCCATTGAACAAATTGGGAGTACTTCCTCTTGGAGAGAGACGAGTATAAAAGGAAAAGGACGGTAATCTCACAATCCAACTCGGCCTCTCACAATGCTCATATCTCCACGTGTAATCCCACAAAAGACAGGTCAATATGGAGCAACTGATAGAAAAGCAGCGGGGGGCTGTTTGTGTAGTCGGATTGCCGGTGCGCAAAAGAAAAGGTCACATCATCCTCCCATTTAGGAAATAAACGCAATTTTTTTTCCTTCTTCCTTTTCTTCTATTCGTCCAGAAACACAAGTTGATAAGCTTCTCTTTCAGTCGTCCCAAAGTGTGTGTGAACCTCAATTTTTAGTCATATTATTTCAGTCAAGGGAAGCGCGCAGCTCTGATGCCTGAAGATTGCGTTAATTCGGAAAGTGTCCAAATCACCGACACCGCAGCGTCGTAAAAAAACTCCCTTTCACCTGTGGTCCGTCTCCTCGTTCCTCTCGAGCCTCACCGGCATCGACGGCATTGCCCAAAGACCCGGTGGGTGGGGGGGGGAAAGATCCAAATCAGATGCGCTGGATGAACGCCTGGATAGACGACGGAGTGTTGATCGTGAGAGGGGGAAAAGTCTTTGAAGGTCTCTGTTTGGAGAAGGAAGTATTTCTCAGCATGCTGGCTGAACTGAACGCAGGATGGAGAATGGGCAGAGCGACGCCGGGAGAAAAGGAGCGGGAGGGAAAAGTGCGCACCGCGCGACTCCAAGTGATTTTTATGTCTACACATTCAAAACATTCGAGCAATTCGGCATTTGCTTCAGGTTATAGCAATTGACGCAGCACGATGCCGTACGCAGAATAAGTGGTGCTACATTATTAAAAAAGCAGCGTGAATCACGACTGACGTGATTTGAATGTGGTATTTACGGATTCTGTGTGGTTTGTGACAGTTGGGCTTTTGGATCGATATTGGCTGACATTCAAACGCGGATCACTCCTCAATTACACATTGTTCACTCGGTGTGAAAAGCAAGTGTCACAATCAATTGTATTTATTGATGTATTGGTTGCCATTGCTGTGAAATTAAAATGAATCTTAAATTGGTCACAATTTGGTCGAGGTGTTTTTACTTTACTGATGAACTCACATTTTGACACTTTGTTCCTTCTCTAAAATTTACCACTAGGAAATAATCACTTATATACATTTAGAAAGCTAACAATGCAGAGTCTTATAAAAATACAAAATAAGCAAACCTAAAGTGAAAATAGTTATTGTGACATACTCATATTCCCTCTCAGTGGAGATGATTCTGGGAAAATCTGCTGTAAAATTTCATTGTTTGTTTAATCATTGTTAATTTATCAGATATAATAACCACTTTGGTTGGTGTTTTAAGAACCATGTGGTGTCCTGAGGAGGTCTAGCACCTCCTCAGGACACTACCTGGTTCTGTTCAACAACAAAAGCAAAAACAGAGTGAACGAGAGTTTCACACACCTGGTGGCTAGAGACATGACTTCAAATGAATGCTAATGTTGTCCCTATAACTACTATATGTAGCAGCGGTTTGTTAACCAATAGCGTTTCTTGTACTTCTGACATGTTTTTCCTCACTGCTTCAGTTCCATGTACAGCGCCGCCGTTTCTTGCCGCAGTGTCACAGACAGCTGCATGAACAGCACATCGGAGAGCTGCTACCGCAGACATTAAAAGTTTTTAAAAAGGACACCGTAGTGGAGTGACTGGACTCTCAGCACCACGGACAGCAGCCACTTGCGAACACTACGGAACGTACAGCGGAGCGATGGTTCCACCGATCGCACCGGGGACTAACAGCCCAATGAACTGTGCAGTTGAGCCACGCACTTTCAGTACCACGGACAGCACCCGAGGACAGCAGCCGGACCATCACCGGCGCAATGGACGGGCCGCACCATGTCCGCGAGCGCTTTTAACTGGCTGCTTTTTGCCGGCTGTGAGGCTGCAGAGACCTCTGTGCATTCGGCCCAACACTCCCCTGCCACGCAAACTCAGCCTTTGCACTCACAATCTGAAGTATATGCATGAATAACTCAATATGCAAGCCAGAGATGTGGCTTCTATTCGTAGCTTATCGAGATGGCCTTTCAGCTTTGCTATAATTTCCCAAAAGTTCCTTTCAAGAGACTCAAGGTACCCCTGCTGGGAGTTGCTTTTCAAATGTGCACTAGACGGGAGCTCTGGTAAACCACTGTGTGCAATACAAGAGTTTCTGCTCCCTATTCTTGTTATTGCTCTCATCAGAAACTTTTCCTAGCAACTATGTGAAGAGTTGACCCCCCCCCCCCCTTACACACACACACTTCTCTCCCTCTTATTCTTGCTGCAGCAATGATCTTAAAAGCAGTGTACTTATTGTAGACAGTCAATTACGGGCCTGGTGGGAAAGCACTTGCACAGTGGCTCTTATGTGGTGGTGTGTCAGTGACTGTGGCACTAACTGTACAGGGAGTGTAAAGTAGCCTTGGAGGAGGTGCGGGAACACACACACACACACACACACACACACACACACACACACACACACACACACAGACGCACATATGCATCGCTTTCCTCTGTCGTTTTGTTTTTTCCCCCTCACACATTCACACACAAAACATCTGTCGTTTGCTATCAGCTCGGATATAATGCATGAGCTGTGGCCTACATAGGCTTCACTTTTGCATAACATTTCTTTAACTCCAAAAAGAAGGAAACACACAGGGCATGAAAACAATGACTTGCTATTTCGGCGGATGAGAGGCTTCAAAGTTGAACAGAAAGCTACTGAGTGCTTTGGCTTTGAACCATGATAAAATGTTATCTCATTCCCTTTCTATATGGATCCACATTGTGGCACCGGTTCTACTGACGCTCTGTGTTCACTGGCGTTTCGTGCTGAGGCCTGGCCTATGTTGGAGTTCAAATGGATTTGTAAAATATCCGTGCAGTTTAAATGGTGTTTTAAAATATAGGCTGCCAAGTGAAAGAGCTCTGACAAATCAAATAAACATTCCTTTGGTAGAAATATGATGAACCAATTCAGGAGCAATTTCGGGACTTCTGGTGCTGAGACGAGAAAAAAAAGTCTCTTTTTTAGGCTTGATGAAAAGTTAGCTTCACCAGCTGTGGGCGACACCAATACTAGACTCAAGTATTTCAACGTGACTCTTACTTATTGGCCTCTGACCATATTTATGTCTGGTCTATGTCTTGATCACAGGGTCGTTAGTCCAAAACATTTGTCAACATAGGTGCAGATCTCCATACTCTGGATACTGATACCTACTTCCCGAAAGATGAATTATTTTGTAAAAACGATTTTAAATACATACTGACCGTCACTCTTGCATCATACTCAATTACAAACTGTATAATTGGAAAGGCTGGTGATTCTCTAAGAACAGATAAATCATCCGAATGTTGCTTGTTCTGTCCAAAACATTCCCAGTATGTCAGATAGTTCTTATATAATTAGGCATAGGAAATGGAAAGGGTTGGCTGTGACGAGCTAAACTCTATCGTGAAAGGTTGTATTAGAAAGCAAGCTAACGCCACAGCAATAGCCAAACCGGTTTATCATTATTGACGTTTGATTTTTCGTGGTCGCACTTCATTGAAATTAATAAGGCAAAAGGGGAGGAGCAGGAAGAACTGAAACAGATGTACCAACAAAGCATAAATTTGTATGAACACATTTCCTCTAAACGCTTGGTAAGCAAGTCAAGCCACAGGGTTGACATTTTGCATATGGAATCTTTAGTCAATGCTGGGTGGCTACTGTCAGCCCAACAACCTGTGTCCATGTAACTGACAACTCTATTGGCACTGAAAATCCTGTCACAGAATTTCATAGGTGTTACTCGAGACAGCATATCTGCTTACATACCTCGAAGTGAAATGGTGTATGACTATGAGTAGCAAGATGGTTTAGTCAGGGCATCCTTTATCTACAAGATATCATGTTCAACACAAGGTTAGAACATAAGGCACCAATCTTAATTTAGGCTTATGTATATTTTAACATAGGGCGGCACGGTGGCGTGGTGGTTAGCACTGTTGCCTCACAGCAGGAAGGTCCTGGGTTCGATTCCGCCCAGTGGCCTTTCTGTGTGGAGTTTGCATGTTCTCCCCGTGTCTGCGTGGGTTCTCTCCGGGTTCTCCGGCTTCCTCCCACAGTCCAAAGACATGCTCTGGGGATCAGGTTAATTGGGGACTTTAAATTGCCTGTAGATGTGTGAATATGAGTGTGAAGGGTTGTATGTCTCTGTGTTAGCCCTGCGATTGGCTGGCGACCAATCCAGGATGTACCCTGTCTATCGCCCCCGCAATCCTGTGTGCAGGATAAGCAGTTTGACAATGGATGGATATTTTACATATAACTTTAACAGATACTTTGTTTTATTCTTATAAAAGGGTATGATTTTTGTGTCAGGACACTGCTGTTTTTTTGTTGCTTTCATTTTGTATAATAATGAATAAGGAACCCAATATGCTAAAGAACATATTAAGTATCATCAATTGTCAGTAATAAAACAACCTTTGCGGTGCGCTTGAGCGGCACTGAGCTTCCCAGTGTGGTGTCGTCTGAGACCTGACCTTTCTCTGTGGGTCTTGCCTTTGATCCGTCCAGACGCAAGCTACTTCCCCTTTATTGGACCACGAGGAGGGCTTTGAACTTAGCTTGCCACTCGGGGATTTAAGTGCAGAGTGTTCTTATGGTACCACAGCATGCTCCCTCTTACTGTCACGGATTAAGAGAAAAAGAGAATACAGAGAAGCCTTGTCAGCTCTCTGAATATGTAGTAGACAGTTGCTCTCTGCGGAGAGAAAGGAGGACGGACATCCATGTTCCAATACTCCAGCAGGATAATCAGCAAGTTCATCACTGTGCTGATAAAAAGTCTTGCATAAAATAGTATCATTGCGATGACAATATCCTCTGATTCCGGCTTCCATTGAAAAACAATATAAATGTGGCACGAACGGTTCGGAATACAAGTTAACATAAGACTTGGTTCTGATGTAAAAAGTGAAATAAACATGTCAATTATAAATAACTGTGATAATAACCACCATTGCCTTCCATAAACAATGCTTTTGTTTCTTTCAACAGCCATTACAGCAGCACTTAGGCACAGTTGCTCCTTGAGCAAACTGCTTACATCAGCGTGCTTACGCACTCACAACAGAGTGCTGAAGGTATGACGTGATTTTGAAGGCCAACCGACCGTCTTTACAAATAAACATTTTTATCTTTTTTGAAAAGTCAACGCCAACGTCATTGACAGGAAAAAGGAACTCCTAAAAATCATGTTGTAAACAAACTTCATCAAGGTTGCATGAGTCAAGTTTACACAAAAGGTGCGTGGAGGTGGTTTATTTGGCACCACGATGACCGCCTGTAAACCGCCCACTTACAAGCTTAAAATATTCCCAAAGAGGGGGTTCTTACTGACACATTATATATCAAAGCACAAAACCATTCAATATCTTTAAGCTTGTGTGAACCACAGACTTTATTTTAGGAAACAAAATAAAAGAATTACAAAATCATTTTGAGATAAAATAATTGGAAATACAAAAAAAGTTATTTCTTGCTTTTACAAGTAGTTTTTGCAGCGATCTGCGACAATGCCAGCATGCCAATGTTTATGCTGCATGCACACTATTCCTAAACCCCTCCCTTCTAGCCATGTAGTAATCAAAACCAATGGTCGAGTC